TGCCAATTTATAAAAGCAATAGAAATTTCCAAAAAAGATGACAATAAAGTTCTGCAGTCCGATTATTTAGAAATGACCACTATTAACACCTATTTACATACTCTTCCAGAGATTTTTTTTGGTGCATACACTTATACACATTTTACTAACAACAGGATACAATCATGAAACTCTTTTATAAGATGCTTTTTTTGGTCATTTAACAATATTCTTATGGGTATATTTTCCATATAATTTAATAATCCCCTACAACATTATTTAAAATCACAGCATATTGTGTCTTTGTTTGGCTAGACAATGATCTACTTAATCAATCCCCTATTATTGGACGTTTAGGCTGTTTCACCAAATTGCCAATCACGCTGTAAGTGATAATGCCAAATAGCATCAATTGGTCTCCTAGTCCAAGGTGCTTATGCCTTAGAGCTAGCTGAGGAAGAAGCAGAGGAAAAGGAAATACTATTTCTCGCACACAGTCTCACTTAGCCTGACCATTTTATAGTTTTTATCTGGCTGGGGGAACACACGTGGGGTTCGCGTTGCAGAGGAATGCATACTAATATCGTGGAAATTCTAATGAAACAATCCAACTGTAACTGACACCATCATGTTCCACCTTCAGTGAAAACCGAGTTTTCTCACCACTCTGCTGAGAAGGACCTGCGGGTCCCAGAGCAACTCGGGTTTGTGCTTAATATGTAAACAGCAGCTTGTGCTTGGTTTGGACTGACTTCAGCTCAACTAGCTGTCATTTCTTCCTGCTGGTATTTCTATTAATCACGTCTTTGGAATAGAATCATTCCTGCAGTAGTTTTGTGGGTGGGTTCAAAAACAATTAATAATCCAAGAAGTCTCTGAATGTAAGATTTTTGTTTCTCTGGTTTATAAAATTTGCATAATTATTTGTTCATGTAGCATTTGTATATCGCTTTCCTGATCGTCTCATACTGTATGAAATTTCCGGCAATTCCCCTGTGCCAGCTTCTCAGACTGCCTGTGAAGCTACCATCCCCACAGCAATAATGCAAATAAATGGTTGCAAGGCTGCCCCACATTCTGATGCCAGTCTTTTAGGGTACTATCAGACTGAGTTGGACAACTCACAGTATTGGGGAGGAAATATCTCTTCTGTTTTATTAATTCTATCAAAATCATACACAGAGGAAACAATGGTCAGGTTTTCTTAGACTTGGAGGACCAAGATAATTCACAGCTCTCCTGTTTGCTGAAGGAGTCCTGGTGGCACAGTGATTAAATGCTCAGCTGCTAACGAAAAGGTCAGTAGTTCGAACCCACTAGCTACTCCACTGGAGAAAGATGTGGCAGTCTGCTTCCACAAAGATTTTCAGCCTTGAAGCCCCTATGGGGCTGTTCTACTCTGTCCCATAGGGTTGCTAGGAGTTAGAATCGACTCATGGCAAAGGGTTTGTTTTTTTTTTTTTTTTTGGTCTGTTTGCTGGGATATGATGTACTTTGTATCTCTGTGCCCTGAGCAAGTACCTTTAGAGAGTCACTTTTGAGGTAGGCTGGCCTACTTGTATGCAATCCATCATGTGTTCATATGCAGATTCAATTCAACAAGAATTTATTGCGTCTTTACTCTGTGCTAGGCTCTCTTTGCCAGGTCTGCAGAGACAGAGATGAGCAAGAAGTATTCTGCTTCAAGACATTCACTAATGGGACACACACACACACACACACACACACACACACACATTCTCTAACTACATAATACAATTCTGGCTGAGAGAAGGGCTACAACAGAAGTAAACCAGTGCCAGCTGCCTTCGAGTCAGCTCAGACTCATGGTGACCCCATGTGTGTTAGAGTTGAACTGTGCTCCACAGGGTTGTCAATGGCTGATTTTTTGGAAGTAGATTACTAGGCCTTTCTTCCAAGGCACTTCTGAGTGGACTCAAACCTCCAATGTTTTGGTTGGCAGCCAAGCGCGTTAATCATTTGCAACACCCAGGGACTCCATAGGTGCTGATAAATGCTACAGGAGCACCCAGAGGCAACAATCCATTTGGCTGGGCTTAGAGGTGGGATTCTGAGAGGAAACGATACCTGAGTTAGGTCATGATGGAAGACAAATGGGGAGCGGGCATTAAGGTGACCATCTGAACGACGTCGTGTGTGTTGAAACACAGGGCACAGCCAGAAAGTGGCAAGTGAACTTGAGAAGCCTGTTGTTAAAGGTGCCTGTTGGGCAGTGGGACAAGATATGGCTGGAGAAGTAGGCTAGAGTCAAGTTTATGATGAAGTTGGTTGTTAAGGAGTTTAGGCTTTCTTCTGTAGAAATGGGAACTCTTGAAGTCTTTTGGGGAGGGGAGTGACATTATCAGGTCTGTCTTGGAGAAAACCACTCTGGCCGCAGTGTGGATGGAGGTAAGGAAACCAGTTAAGAAGCCATTTCTGAGCTTCAGGAGAGGGATAGGGGGACTTGAACCAGGGAACAGAAGGAGTAGGGATGGAGGACATCCTAGAGTATGTTCTTTCTTGCTAAGCTGGTAATACTTCCAAGTATAGCTGTTTCTACATTTGGGTCCAGGAACACTTATTTTGAGGAGAAATAGGAAAGATAAGCAGAAGGCAGGAGATAGGACTGGAAGCTGGCTGTAGGTGATAGCCTACGGAGCTGTCAGTCTCCCTTGGGTGGTGGTCATTTATCATCTCAAGATGCTTTGACTTCCTCTAAAACATCCTATGAAGTCAGGGCAGCGCAAACATTGTTAGTACGCTATGCACAGATTATTTATGTGTGTGTGTGTGTGTGTGTATATATATGTATATATATATATATATATATATATATATATATATATATAAAAGAATGCTTAAAAAGGCCTGTAACAGGCTCAAAATAACCTTAAGCAAACAGGAAAGTGATTATAAAATTTCTCAGGTTGTCCACGTTCCAACAGGTTGAACCTGCACTGGCGATGAGCAATTACATCTTCAAAGACCCTGTTTCCAAACAAGGCCACATTTACAGGTTCCAGGGGTTAGGACTTCAGCATACCCTTTTGCAGGAAACAATTCAAACCGTAACAGCTATTTCACTCAGTATACGTGTCTGTATTGAGCGCCCCTTAAGTATCAAACAAGGTCCCTGGGTGGCACAAAGTTTGTGCTCAGCTGCTAACATAAAGGTTGGCAGTTTGAACCCACCCAGTGGTACCAAAGAAGAAAGCCCTGGTGATCAGCTTCCATAAAGATCACAGCCAAGAAAACCCTATGGAACACAGTTCTACTCTGTAACACATAGGGTCACCATGAGTTGGAGTCAACTCAACAATAACGGTTTTTCTTTTTCCCATTTTATGTATCAGGGACATTTAAAATACTGGGGATAAAAAGATGAAGATGACACTTCCTGTCCCTGAGGAAGTTCATAGTCCAGTCGGGATGACAAAAAAGGTACAAGTGATTATAGTACAAGATGGCAAGTGCTAGGATAGAGTTACGTGCCACACACTTAAGGGAGCGTGAGGAGTGTGAGGGGGGACAGCTGAGCCGAGGCTGGTCACCTACAGACCACCGCAAAGTCACATCCTGGCCCAGAGCTCGTCTCTCAGGAAAGCCCCCCTGCCATCTGGCCTATACTGTCTTAAGTTTTCTGTTTTCTTTTTTGGCACCAACTTCCTTTGTCCACATGCAGGATAGGGACTCCAATTTCTTCTAGACCCTTTGTTTAGTAAAGATAATTGGATGATTGCACAGGGAAATTTACTGTTTAAAATTCCAGTTTCCTTCAATGGGGAAGTAGATAAAGGAGTGTTTCTGGGGTGTGGGCTAAGGGTGTGAGGTTGGAGGTTTGCTCCCTCTTGGTCATTTGGAACAGGAAGGAGGCCATGGGCAGGAGGAGGGACCAACTGGAAGAGAACATCTACTGGGGAAGGGCAGTCACAAAAAAGACCTGAGTGAAGTAAACAGAGGCACCTGAGGGCCTTGGTTGAGGTGGTGCATGAAGACGAGGAGAGGTGGAGGACAGGCTGGGGTAGGGTTTCCTGTGCTCTTTAGAAGGTACATATGGCAAGGGGGAGGGGGCTAGTGAATTAGAGAGAGGAGATATAAAAGAAGGGGTTTTCTGCTTCTGTACTTTGAGTCTAGTTACCTGATGTCCCTCTCATCAATGACACAAATAGGCAAGACCGCAGTAAAACAGTGGCGTTTAGTAAGCTTACAATTTTCTTTCAGAGTACGTCGCTATACTGAGGAGACCTTGCCACTGAGGAGATAGCTGAGGAGAAACCTGGTGTTATGGATTGAATTGTGTTACCCAAAAAGATTTGTTGAAGGTCTCATCCCCAAGATCTGTGGGCATGGCCTTGTTTGGAAATAGGGTCTTTGAAGGTGTTTTCAGTTAAATTAACACACACTGGAGTAGGTTGGGTCCTAACCCATTATGAGTGGTGGCCTATAAAAGAGAAGAGATGCAAGCAGACACGCAGAGGAAGATGGCTGGAGGGATGCTGCCACCAGCCAAGGGGTGCCTGGAGCTGCCAGAAGCTGGGAGGACAAGGAAGACAAGGGGACAGCATGGCCCTGATGACACCCTGAATTTGGACATCTGGCCTCCACAACTGTGGAAGAATAGATTTGTCATTTTAAGCCACCCAGTTAGTAGTACTCTGTTACAGCTGTGCTGGGAAACTAAGACACTTGTGAACACTTTCAAACCCAATGGGATTTTGGAAGCTACTGATTTCTAGTGGCGCCCTTTTTATCAGGCGCTACTGTTAACAGTAACAACTTTCTACTGTAAAGCACCTCAGAGCATTGGGGTCATTCCGTCTTCACACCAGCCCTGTAAAGTAGGTCCTGTGGGAGAGGCCTCACCCTTGTTTTTGTTTCACAGATGCCGTTCAGTGAGATTACCCTTGTTCAAAAGGGAGTGGCAGAACCAGGGCCTAACCTGGGTGTCTGACCCCAGCTGCAAGCTCTTGTTCCATCTCTCTCTCTGCCTTAGCGGGCAGTTAGCGAGACAGACAACTTACCCCCTTTGCTTCTTCCACAGAAAGAAAACTTTGGGTGATCCCCTTCACAGATAGGATAGGAGAAATTCAAAATGGATGATCCTTTTGTGAGGAGAGCTATGTCAAGAAACAGCTCTTTGATGTTCTCTCCTAAGGGAAAGAGAAGAACAGCTTTACTAGATTGTATGTTTTGCTGTGTATGTAAAGGCATTCAAAGCTTATAACAGGATGAAACAAAGGACTTTTCATTGTCAGAAGTCCACTCTGTGTGGGGAAAGTTCTCTTCTTTTCTTGGTGACACAGCACTTCGGCGATGCTACAGGGGATTATGACGAAAGCTCTGGGTATGTAGGGTAGCCCTTCTCTATCTTTACCTCTCTGAGGCAAGGTGGTTAATCTGCCCACTCCCCTTCTCTGATGCTATGGCCCCTCCACAAGGTCTGAAGGTCTGGTTTTTAGAACTTCTCAGCTACATAGCACTATGTGTCCCACGGAATAGTGGGATAGTGGGTGGCATGTGGTCAAAGCTACCAACCCATCTACTATTGCTAGACAGCTATTCCATCATAGTTGTGGTAGGAAGTGCCATGATGCTCTGCAGTCATGCCTTCCAATTGTCTCTGCTTTTTTTCTCAGCTCCTCCCTTTAATCACAACCTCCCATTCCTCCTTCCATTCCTCTTTTCTCTCTTTCTTCTTCTTTTTTTAATATGTCCCCTGAAAGCTGCTGCTGCTGCTGCTTTTTTTTTTGGTTGCAATTTCTTTTTTTTTGTTATTGTACTTTAGATGAAGGTTTATAGAACAAACTAGCTTCTCATTAAACAATTAGTACACATATTGTTTTGTGACATCGGTTAACAACCCCACAACATGTCAACATTTTCTCTTCTCAAACTTGGGTTCCCTATTACCAGCTTTCTTGTCCCCTCCTGCCTTCTCGTCCTTGCCCCTGGGCTGGTGTGCCCCTTTAGTCTCGTTTTGTTTTATGGGCCTGTCTAATGTAGATGAAGGGTGAACCTCAGGAGTGACTTCATTACTGAGCTAAAATAGTATCTGGGGGCCATACTCTCAGGGTTTCTCCAGTCTCAGACGAGTAAGCCTGGTCTTTTTTTGTGAGTCAGAATTTTGTTCTGTATTTTTCTCCAGCTCTGTACAGGACCCTCTATTGTGATTCCTGTCAGAGCAGTCGGTGGTGGTAGCCGGGCACCATCTAGTTGTGCTGACCTCAGCCTGGTGGAGGCTGTGGTAGTTGTGGTCCATTAGTCCTTTGGACTAATCTTTCCCTTGTGTCTTTAGTTTTCTTCATTCTCCCTTGCTCCAGATGGGGTGAGACCAGTGGAATATCTTAGATGGCTGCTCACAAGCATTTAAGACCCTGGACGCTACTCACCAAAGTAGAATGTAGAACATTTTCTTTAGAAGCTATGTTATGCCAATTGAGCTAGATGCTCCCTGAGACCATGGTCCCTACAGCTCTCAGCACACAGCCTTCTCTTTCTTTCTGAAGCTGCTGCTAGAGCCAGATATTGTGCAAGATTCTGGAAATGCAAAGATCCATGAGAATTCTTGGCTTCTGGGAATATTCCCTTGGTTTCCCTGGAATGATTCCACATGCTAAGTTTTATTCAACCATTTTCCTCTTGTTTTGTTAAAGCTGTTTAAAAGGGAGATAATCTATTAACTATAGCAAATATATTGACTAACTGTAATGACACAATCATATAAACATTAAACAATCAAAGTGTTTCAGCTCATTGATGGGGGAGGGGCTGTGCCATGCTTTAAGAATTTACATTAGTTATTTGGAAAACAATTGGCACAAATGACAAACCATGCTACTTGAAGTGGATTTGTTTGTTGCTGAGATAACTAAGTAAAAGCTCTTTCCTGAGTAGACATCAATACTTAACGCTCAAAATATTTTCTTTTTTTCTGGGTATACTGATTCCAGGTGTTTATATCATCCAAATGAGTCTCTAGAGTCTTTTTCAGTACAAAAACACAGCATTAAATGAGAGTTCTACTCTATCTGGATATCACCAAAGAGAGAATGGAAAATGGAGATGGAAACAGAGTTAATTCCAGAGAGTGGTGGGGAACAGTAGTTTAGCCAGCCACTATAGCTAATACAAGTCGTTGGGTGTGTGGAGCATGAAGGGCTATGCAATGTTTTATTTCATGCTAATAATTTTTACTTACTCAGAATGAGTCCAAGTCTAATGCTTAGGTTTGGTTTTAAGTCTTTGGAACACTGATCAATAGAAAAGCCAAAGTCTTGGAGTGGATCTGCCAAGGAGAAACCACAGATCAGTTGTGAGTAAATTGTATACTCTGCAAAGTCATATTCAAAATTCACATCAATAATATTATTTTTTTCTACATAAATACTTAAACTGATTAAAAATCATATTGACCCAACAATTTTTTTCTATAAGCCCGTGACTACTTCAAAAGGCCCGCCCAGTCTGTCCAAAGTCAGTGTTGGCCAATGTCACTCTGACAGCAGGGTCTCAATCTGTGAAATGAGTAGAGTGTCTTAATAGGTGGGTTCCATCCTTACTTGTTGCTAAAATTCTTATCATTGCTCAAGTTCTTTTAGTTCCTGACCTTCTGGTCCTAAAAATGCTCATTGATTACACCAAACATTTCATAATATACTTCTTTATTATTATAATAAAAACAGAGGGAGATATATGCATATTTTTAAGGTCAAGACGTGCCTTTATGATTTCATTCCATGTTATATATATATATATGTATATACACACACACACACACACACAAGGTATTGTGTTAACTATGGTAGGGGCTACGAAGATAATATTTTTTAAATATAATTTCTGCTCATTCAAAACACTCCAATGGCTCTTCTACACCTCAGAATAAAGTCCACAAATATTCTAGTGGCCTTATCTTCCATGCTCCTAATCATGAATATGTCCTCCATTCTTTGAGGCTGGGTAGTGACATACACACCCAGAAAATTCTCACCGTGCTTGACTTGTTCATGTGTTTTCTCCCATTTCTAATTCTCTTACCCCTTTTGGTCATCGTCTAAATATTCAGGTATTGCTCAATTTCCATCTTTTTATGAAGTCTTCCCTGATAGTTTCAAAAAATATTATTTTGCTTCTCTGAATTCTTAGGACAATTACGGTCTGAAATACTTTTTGAAGCATGCAAACATGTATGACTTTGCACTTTGGTATTTGACTTACCCTACACCAATGCTTAAACTAAACATGAAACTCTTTAAAGAAAGGCAGGAGCTGGTTTTTTGTTGGGGTTTGTTTTCCTTTCCATTTTCTTTTCCCTCGTGTTTCCCACTGGACCTGAAGTAGGAAAGCTACTTTAACTGGGGGTCTAGTTGCAGTAGTCACTGAGCTGTGTACTTTAGAAGAGTTTTCCATTTAATTCTCCAGACCCCCCAGTGCCTAGCACAGAGCCTCAAAGTGTGACACATAGTAAGCACTCCTTAAATATCCATAATGCTTAGATGGACGGGCCATATATTAAGCTATCATCTCTCAGCTCCAAACGCAGCCTTCCATACTCTGCTTTGTGATTCTGGGGCTCTCTGCAATCACGTTTCTCCATTGCCACCTGCCAATAGAGATGCCTGAGGCTAGAGAGGGGAATGGACCTACTCTTCCTTGCTTACTCACTGTTCCTTGAGTGTCACCCCAGTGATACCTATCACCTGGCATGGGCATTGATTCTAGTGTCCAGCTCTCTTTTACACCTTTCCAAAAGCAGCCTATGCTCAGCTCTGTGGGCCTTCTAAGCTTCAGAGATAAGAGTACCTCAGAAGCTGATACCTCTTCCTCAGATATTTGAGTCACAGCTCCACAGGTCTTTCTTTCAAGCTTCTAGGTTCTAATAACCCCAACCTCTGTCCTTTGTTTTCCCAGCCCTAGGGGTGGTAGCTGCTTCCTTGACATCCCTTTTTTGTTTGTTTCTCTAACAACCGCTTCCACCACCTATCTGTCAATTTATTGTACTGTGGTGGCTTGTGTGTTGCTGTGATGCTGAAAGCTATGCCAACAGTATTGCAAATACCATCATGGTGTATAGGTTTCAGCAGAGCTCCCAGACAAAGACAGACTAGGAAGAAAGGCCTGACAATCTATTTCCACAGATTAGTCAAAGAAAACCTTATGAATCACAACAGAATATTGTCTGATGCAGTGCTGGAAGATGAGTCCCCTAGGTTGGAAGGTACTACACAACCATGGACTCAAACATACCAATGATCATGAATATGGCACAGGACTGGGCAACATTTGATTTTGTTGTACATGAGGTCGCAATGTGTCGGAGCTGACTTGATAGCAACTAATAGCTGCCTAACTAATTCCTATATTAAATTTCCTCTCTTAAAATAACCAATAAAATTTCCTTTTTTCCAACTGGACCTAGATCGATACAATAAACAGCAATCTTGAGAGACTGGTATGATTTTCCTAGTTTTACAGCTGGGAAAATATAGATTCAGGGAGGTTTTTTTAACTTGCCCAAGCCCCAGAACTAGAAAGTATCAGAGTCAAGATTCAATTGCAGACTTAAAAAACAAAACAAAATGAAAAACTGCTGCCTGGGTTTGTGCTGCATAATTCACAGAGTTGAGGCTCAAATATGTATGTTAATTATTTGATTTGTAGGAGTGCCTGGAATATTCTCTAGTTTCTGTGCAGACATATGGCATCTGGTAGTTCTGTTTCATAACTGATTTCAATTTTAGCTTCACTCTGAGCACATATTTGTCAATGATAGTGTTCCAGACAGTTTTATCATCCACATTGCAGACCTGGAAGATACATAATTGTCTCTGGTATTTGCCATGGAAATGATCACTAGGCAATTTCAACCTTGCAAAATGAATGTAGGTGTACTTTTGTTTGATCGAAAACCCTTTGATCTGGTCACTAATTTTCCTGGGGGAAAAGCTCTTTTTTCTTATGCTTATTTTACCCTTTTATGAGCATCTTTGTGCTGTCCCAACATTCTTCTATTCCAAATCTTCTTTCAGCTTGAGAAATAAGAGTAGGGAGTACAGAGACAATTGCTCCAGCTGCATACCTGGTACCACAGTACTGAAGATGATAGAGGCCAACTAACAGATGTTTAGGGAAGTGTATCAGTCTTAGTCATCTAGTGCCGCTATAACAGAAATACCACAAGTGGATGACTTTAACAAAGATAAATTTATTCTCTCACAGTCTAGGAGGCTAGAAGTCTAAACTCAGGGTGCCAGCTTCAGGGGAAGGCTTTCTCTCTCTGTTGGCTCTGGAGGAAGGTCCTTGTCATCAATCTTCCCTTGGTCTAGGAGTTTCTCAGTGCAGGCACCCCAAGTCCAGGGGACATGCTATGCTCCTGGTGCTTCTTTCTTGATGGTACAAGGTCCCCATTTCTCTACTCACTACTCTTTTTTATATGTCAAAAGAGATTGGTTTAAGACACAATCTAATCTTGTAGATTGAGTCCTGCCTCTTTAACATAACTGCCACTAATCCCATCTCATTAACATCATAGAGACAGGATTTATAACACATAGGAAAATCACATCAGATGACAAAATGGTGGACAATCAACAGTAGTGGGAATCATGGCCTGGCCAAATTGAAACACATATTTTTGGTATCACATCCTCAAAATTGTGAATAAAGTTATTTCCTGAGGAAATACAAAAGAGGGTAAGTAGTTTTGCTTGGAGTCCTTGGGTAGCGCCAAGGGTTAACACTCTCTGCTGCAAACAACACGTTGGAGGTTCGAATTCATCCAGAGGCATCTCAGAAGAAAGGCATGGTGATCCACTTCCAAAAAAATCAGCCATTGAAAACCTTATGTAGCACAGTTCTACTCTGACACACATGAGGTCAGAATGAGTCGGAATCTACTCCAAGGCAACTGGTAAGGAAGATATTTTTGCTTAGTTAATTACCAGTTACAAAATTATAGTGTATGTTTGTCAATATTTTAAAGGTATAGATAGAAAAGAAACTAAGGACAGAAGAAGGAAAAAGAATAAAAAGCATTCTCCTGGTTCCGGGCAAACATTACTGTTAGGAAAATAATTTTGTTAAGAAGCAAAGTCACAAAGAAAGTAGCAGGCCATTTCTCTCTAAGGACACACACACACACACACACACACACACACACACACACACAGAAAGACAGATTGCTTATAACATACTTGGGGGTTTGGTAATCTTTCCTAGAAATTATTTCAATTTTATATTTGAGAGAGATGTCTTTGAGAGTGAACATGTAGTTTGCAGTTGTTTTGGGGAAGGGGATATCAGCTCCTCCCCAACCCCAACCTCACAACCTCATCCTCACAGTCGTATCTCTCCCTCTATTTGTATTTCCCCTCAGGCACTTAGCCTTCTCTCTCTTTCCCTGTCTCTTTCTTTCTCTCTCTCTACCCTACTAAATGCTATAAAAGCAGGCTCCCCCAACCTCATGGCCTAGCATAACATCTTAAGGTTATATTAGGTTCCCAGTAAAAGTTTGCTGAATGAATAATGAGGGTTATTTCTAGTAAATTAGTTGAGACTTTTAAGCAGGATTTCTCAACCTTGTCAGTATTAACATTTGGGGCCAAATAATTCTTGGTTGTATTGTGTATGGTGGGGGAGGGTAGGCTACCCTATGCATTGGAGGATATTTAGCAGTATCTAAACCTCCAGTTGCCAACAGTGGGCCCCCCTAGTTGTGACAACCAAAAATGTCTTCAGACATTACCAACTCTTCCCCGTGGGACAAAATCGCCTCTGGTGCAGAAGCACTGCTGTAAGGAATTACTTTCCCAACGATCAGTATCTTAGGCTGGGTTCCCTAGAGAAGCAAAAGCAGTAAAGCATACAAATATATATATACAGAGAGATTTATATCAAGGAAATGGCTCACACGGTTGTAGAGGCTGGAACATCCCAAGTCCGTGGGTCAGGATAGAGGCTTCTCCTGATTCACGTAGCCGCAGGGGCTGACAAACCCATGATCAGCAGGTCAGAGGACACAGCTCTTTCTCACAGGCTGTGAAGATTCAATGAATCCCAAGATTGGCAGGCAAGACTGCAGGTAAGCTGCTAGCTCAAGTCTCAAGAACTGGAGGTTAGACAAACAGGAGCCAGCTGCAGGATCCAGCACGAGCAAAAAGCCCCCAAGCCTTGCCAGAATGTCCACTTATATTTGATGCAGGCCACACGCACAAGGAAACTCCCTTTCAATTGATTGACTACTCACAGTAGATTGGGGTGATCACATACCAAATGTCAACAGGGAAG